TGTGTGTGTGTGTGTGTGTGTGTGTGTGTGTGTGTGTGTGTGTGGAGGAGAGGTCACGGGGATGTTGACGACGCATTTGATGCTGTCTTCCTGCCTCTGCATGCAGAAGTATTGATTGTGGTGATGAAAGTAAAGTGGACCAGAATCAATGCTACTCATTAATGACGTCCAGGCAGAGGAGGAAAGATTTTGTGACTGTAATCAACACTTTATGGACCAGCTGACCTCTGAGAAAACAAAGCAAGCACACAGATGTCACACTTAGCTGCCCACGACGAAGGGGAGGAGCAGAAACGGGAAACATTTGAGCGACGTGAAAAAGTAGACGAGTCACATGACTTCGAGAAGAAAGACACGGAAATCTGAGGAGATGGGAGGAAATATGTCAATAAAAGCTCAGGCTGACGTTTATTGGGTTTTGATTTGCGGGTCAGCTACACTTGCTTTGACGTGTATCAGAAAAGGAAAAACGAGGTTGGAACTTACAGTCGTGTGCAAAAGTTTTGAATCACCCCTCATTACTTTAGACTTTCTTGTCATATCCCTTTTTAAAAAAAGTTCTTAGCATTTCTCCTTTCATTTGCTGCTCTTTCACTCCAGTGTCTCATCACTTTTGTTAGGAACGCTTTTATTTTGACAGAGTTTTTCGGTTCTGTGTGCGCTGTAGATAAAAGAGCTCAAGAAGTGGTTTTAAACTTWTGCACGGGACTGCAGTTCAAATGTTAAACACGCACAAAAGTTCAAATTCTAAGTGATGTTTGATGCCATTCTGTGTGAAAGATAATTTGCAGACTTTTATTCTGAATTTCTTTCAGTTTCATAGCTGAGGAAAAGCATCAAAAGATGAGTGTACACTAAATTTAATTTATTATTTTACAATGCTGAGAAGGTTTTATGACTTGGTCAAATGGCACTTTTGTATAACAAGACAAATTAATGTAAGATTAAACTGCATTTTGACATTTTATTTAAAGGAGGGTTTTGTTCTTTCGTACAGTTATGGAAAATAATACAGCACCTTGTCTTGTTTTTGTATAAATTAGATTATTCTACGCTAACGTTGCTGCACATTTTAATGAAAACAACAAAAAAAAATAATAAGAAAAATCCAGGTGCCACGTTTTTATTGGTTTGTTTTTGTGTGCTTCCAGGGGCCCCGGACCCCACGGCCGGAGCCAGCGTGGARGACGAGAACTGCTGGCACCTGGACGAGGAGCAGGTTCAGGAGCAAGTCAAGCTCTTCCTGTCGCAGGGAGGCTACCACGGCTCGGGCAAGCAGCTCAACCTCCTCTTTAGCAAGGTCAGAACCAACGAAACGCGGATTTATCCCGATACAGAACTTAAAAAAAATAAAATAAAAACATGCATACAGCAAACACCAACCCCCATCGGTCACGGCTGCACGCACACTCAGCCTGTGTAGGTTTACCGCCCTCCCTTTGGGTTTTCTTGTCTAGTTTCACTGCGTCCTTTTTAATAGATACTTTCTCCCACTCCTTTGTGCACTTGCATTATCTTTTATTCCCTAAAGAAATGGGAATGAAAGCGAACYCATAATGCATATACATTAGAGGGCAGGTTGGATCTTAGCTTGAGCTAATTGTGGGAAGGCGAGAAAACAAAAAAAATAGTGCAAGATAAAGAGAAGAGAGAAGAAGTATAGAAAGAAGGGAGGCTTGCAGTATATACCGCTCCGTGATTAAACGATTACATGAGAGATGTTTGCCTGCTATTACAGTCTCAGAGCCAGGCTGGCATTAATGCATTGTGTGCTATGTAAAGACCGCAAGCCAGGGCCATTATCATCCGCCTCGTCTGGCTTTTAGAACGTCTCCCAGCTTCATGCTCTTTGTTGTACGTTGTGTTCTTCATCCTACTTCAAACTGCACTCACACAAACGCGTATAGGTTGTATGTAATGTWTTTTTTTTTTCAAATGTACAATCTAAATACTGGAAAAAGAAGTTGCGCAAAATAGAAACAAAACGCACGAGTTTGTAAATCTCTTAAAACCATCTTTTATTCATGATGGAAGATTGTAAACATGTCAAATGTTTAAACTAAGAAATGGTATCTTTTTTGATCAATATCAATTTAAATGATGTGGGGACAAGGTGCGACGAGTTCCTGGAGACTTTGGAGGTAATATTGTGCCGTATTTGTCTGATGCAGGATAACAGCTTGTTTTTTTTTACTGAGTTTTTAATGCACCCAGATGTCCCGCCGTTGTWTTGGATGTTGTTTAGTTTTGTCTTACTGAAATAAGTGTGAATTGGATGCATATGTTTATCTCAAACCTGTTTATACATTGTTATCTGCCCATTCCAGAGGTGCTAATGTACCTCCATATCATCAGAGAGGAGGCTTTGGAACTGTGTGATAATAACTGAACAGATTTTATTGCTGTCCCCAAAAGGAATGTCCAGTTTTTAARGCCACAGAACAGTTTTTTTCACCTTTCTACGTTCCATTTTAAAAGAGGCTCGTAGAAAATGGCCKATGTTTGCACGTTGCTGTTTCTTTGCACGATAGAGCTTTAATCAACATTTGTGGACGGCATTAGAGAACATGATTTCTGGAAGTAGTCCCGCATTGATGGCTATTACAGAAATAGAAACGTTTTTATTGTAGTCCTGCCTTAATGACGTTTCTTTTTCACCAATTTTTTTTCCAGATTTTTAAAAACCATCGATATTATGGACTGTAGGTGATGGGATCTTTAAAATATTTACAATATTATCAATTTTGAGG